GTTGGGGAAAGAGATAACGGTAATGGGATTACAGATTATTTTAATATTCTTTGTTCTACTTTCACAGATTTTTGTATAAATACATAATAAAAACTCAAAGAGAAGCAAACAAACAACAAAAACTACAAGAGGCAAATATCCTAATACAAAGCTGAAGAACTGTTACATACCAAGTACAGCTGTGCAAAAATTTTATTCTGTGTGATTTTACTAGAGTCTGAATTCAGGCAAGCAATAGCTAATTTCATGTGTAATGGAGAAATCCCTGTCATTTTACCATAGGCTGGGTTGAGAGCCACTGTCCAAAAAATACAGATACAAAGCACAAACTGTACTCTAAATATCTTTATGTAACAGAAACTTGAATAAGTGTTCTAAAAACAAGAAGCATTTTTTTTGGAGGGGTAGTACCTACTAAGAAACAGAATTCTCAATATAGTAAGAAAGAAAAAAATGGCTGCTGACAGTTGGGAGCTGGCCCAGCACTATCAGCTAGGCCCCGGTGTGCTACGTTAAACATAAACAATTTCACAGAACACCAACATCAGCCAAGGTCACTCTGTGTCCATGATGAGTCAAGATAAAAACAAGACCACTCTGTAATCACGTCTAAACACAAACAAAAACATGAACATTATCCTAACAACAAAAATAACCAGACATAATCCTATCCTGGCTAATATGAATAACTATTGTTTCTTTACCAATCACAGCTTTAAGCTTTGCTCCATTCTTCTTGCCTCTAGGTTTTTAAAATGCCTAATCTCAAAATTAGTACCACTTTCTAAACAGTATCCAATCCACTCAAAGCCCCACTTCCTTACACTCTACCCAAAATCACTTAACACAAGCCTAAATCGTATGTAGTTCCCTATGACGAACATTCTTCCCTCAGTATAATAAATCAATAAAGTCATCCTGTTTTACTACAGATTATGTTCCTGGTGGTCTTCCCTGGAGGGTGATGACAAGAGATGGAACTACACACTTAAGTACAGGGTGGATTAGGAGTAAAATAATAAAATACATTAAAATACCCACAATCAACAGAAGAGATCACATTCTACATAAAGGGGTCTTTTGATATGTAAAAGTATCCTATCATGGATTCCCACAAATTCAAAACTCTCCATGTTTATCAGCACTGCTACTGTTGACTAAATAAATTTTAAGTTAAATTCTCCATTACTCAGTTTTCCATCAATCTGAACAAAATCATAATCTAAGTATAAAAACTAGAAGGTAAATGAAGAAACTAAACTCTGAACATAATTCCAACTACATAATCCTCTAATTTAAGCACATTATTTTATTTTTTTTTTTTTTGAGACAGAGTCTCACTCTTTTGCCTGGGCTAGAGTGAGTGCCGTGGCCTCAGCCTAGCTCACAGCAACCTCAAACTCCTGGGCTCAAGCAATCCTTCTGCCTCAGCCTCCC